GATTCTTAGTTTTTTACATTTTTTTTATATTAGAAAATGGTGAATAATGTATTTTTAGTTATCAGATGATTAATTTTTTACTCATAATTAGTGTCAAGCTCCATTTGAATGGATCTTAAGATTCAACCAAAAAGAACAAAACCAGTATTTTAAAGTTTTTTATTTGTTAAATATAATTACCTTAAATGGGCTCGATACATAAGGGGAAAAAATTAAGTCTATCAAAACATGTTTTGTATTAAAAATGAACTGATTTATTAATCACAGGAAGTTTTATCTGTAGTTAGTGAATTAAACTGATGGTTTTGGTCACCATGCCCTTCGAATCTGCACATCTTACTTTTATTCATAAATGGGGAGAAGAGGTTTTTTCAACTCCCACTTCTCAATTTTAAGTGAGCTAGTCAATTAAAAGAGTTAGTTGAATAAACTGAAATGGAGAAAATATTCTCTCTGCACCTGAATAAGAGGTTACTGCTGTCAAAAGCTGGTTTAACACTTCAACAAGTCTGATTCCAGGTGCTTAGGAAGCTGGTTTAACACTACAGCAAGCTCTGATTCCAGGTGCTTAGCCAGTGACTTCCATCAATTCAGTGGTTTGATTTTTCTTTAGACTTAAGCAGCAAATATATACTTTAATTTAAGTGATTTTAATAGATTATATCAAGTTTGTGTTAATGTAAGTTGTCATAATTTCAACTAACTTTAAATAGGTTTATTTTAAAAATATATTTAATTTAAATGAAAAATCATTTATTTTTATCCATCTTGATATTTTTATTTCACTTTTAAAATGTCTGTTTGTAGCATTGTGATAGCAGTGTTGGTACCAGGATATTAGACAACGGGCAAGTCTACACTGCAAAATTAAGTTGACCGAAGTTACATCACAGTAATTAAATTGCTTTTGCATGTCCACATATGTTCCTTGTATCAGCAGTGCATGTCCTTACCAGGACTGCTTGCAGTGATTTAACTGTCACTGTGGGGCATTTTTGGAGGGCTCCTGAAAGGCAGCAACAATTGATGTAAGCAACAAAGCAAAAATGTTATGCTATACAAAGCACACGGGATCTTTTATAGAGGAGAAGGCAAAAACGTTGCATTTATTGAGAATACAGCAGTTAGCATATGCTTTTCAGTCATACACATGCACACACACACATATACACACACAGAGTCCTGACAGTTGATGTTTATAGTTACCATTCCAGAGTCTGGATCAATCTAGTGGCCAGCCAGATTGGTCGCAGAGGGGAGCCAGGCTCTGTCGGCCGTGATATGATGCTCCTGGAGTGTACCAAGATGAACCCAAAGTCCCATGGCAAAGCACCCTGTTCTTATAGTCTTTTTTCTCTGTTGAAGTCTATGGATTTTGCTGTGTCAGTTTCTGACCGGTTATCTCTTAATTGGTGTAAAATTTGATGTAAACTTTCCAATACACCTCCGAGAGGGTCATCCTGTTCTGGTTTCGATTTAATCAATTGTCCTATCCTTAGGGGTGCTAGCCTTCACCTCAGAGTCATCAATCTTCCCTTCCTTCATTATGGATACGCACTGATGGTTCTTCACTCCTTCTTCCTTGACCATCTGGCTATAACAATGGCCTTCACACCTTATCTTTTCCTGATGCATACATTCCTCATTCACACAGTCTTTTACAGTTAAAGGTATACAGCAGTTTTTATGTTGAGCAAGAAAAGGCATTGTAAATTAAGCCTTCCTAAATCTTATAATCAAAACAATTCACATTGGGGCCCAGGCCTTCAACATTCTTCTAATCTTCTTAACATAGACAGAATACAAGATCCTGTCTCTTACTTTCTAAACCTTAAAACAAAGAAATGTATATTTAACTAGAGTGCCTAATTTGTGATACATATAGGAAACCATAGTACACATTATAACTTATCCTAAAACAAAAGGGTGACCATAATCAGTCATAAGGATTGTTCTGGTCTGTCATTCCTTTCTGCTATTTAAAAAGGGTAGCTGGCAGGATGAAATCAAATCATACATTAATTCTCATAGTACAATTATAAAATCCTGCTCCTACAAATCTTCTCCAAGATCTTCTGTTGGTGAAAGACAAGCTTTTGAGCCTACTCAGAGCTCTTCTTCAGATCTGGGAAAGGTACTCAGTTTTACAGCTAAATACAATGTGGAATAGATTGTTTAGCATAAGTAGTTAATACACATTGTAAGGGACCATTCAAGGTGAAGTGGCCAATTAACATCTCTACGGTCATAGGACAAAAAAGACGAGTTAGTAGGTTACAGGTTCTTGTAGTAATCCGTAGATCCAATGTCTTTATTAAGTCCGTGATTTTTAATGTGTAGCTAAGTTATGACTTTTAAGCTCACAGCTCATCTATAGAGAGTGTTGTGCAGATTTCCTTTGAGGATGGGGACTGAGAAGTCAAATATGGAGTAATTGCTTTGTGAAAAATTTCACCCCGGGTGATATGGTGCTTTTGTCTTATATCGTTTTTCTGTGTGAGTTCATTTGAAAGCGTAATGATTGTCTTGTTTCAGCCATATAGTTGATATTGGGGCATTTAGTGCATGGGATGAGGTACCCCACATTTTGTGATAGGTATGTAGGAGCCATGTGTGACCAGGTGCCTGGGATAGACCACACTGAGGGCATGCTGCAAAAAATAGGGCAGACAATTTTCCAGAACTGTGATTTATTCTATAATTAGATTCACCAAGCCAGTAACAAAAGAGCTTTCGCACTACCACACTGGTTAACCAGAAGCCAAACACAGTCTGTTTTAAGCATTTCAGCCCTTGACTCCCATCCAGACAATCAAGTCTACTATAGTGAGAGGTTACTGAAAACCCATTTCACAATATGGGAGGTTCTTAATGATCCCAAAGTATCAGACACTTACCCCAGATCAATATGTATCTTAGATCTTACCCAAATATCATGCTGTCAGCCAATCCTTATAAACTAACTGAAGATTTATTAATAAAAGAAAAGAAGAGAGTTATAAATGGTTAATAAAACACATACATACAAATGATTACAAAGTCCTTATATCAGGTTTTTAGCAGTGATGGAATAGACTGCTGGCTTGCAAAGTCTCTCTGGTAACCTCCAAAAGATTGGAAGGTTCTCAGTCCGTAGTTCAAGATGCTGCTTTTTGTTGTAAATCCACAGTCCAGAGAATTAGACCAGGAAAGAGGCAAAATGGAGGTGTCTCAGAGGTCTTTTATATCCTTTGCCATGTGCATGGAAGTTTACTGTCCCAAACAAAGCCCACAGCCTGCATACATGGAAAGTAACTGGCCCAAGATGGAATCCAGGGTCATATGTCCTTACATGCCTTTACATACTTTGCTGTCTCACGGGGCAGCAATTGCCCATATTCTTTCTGAGACATCCACAGGAAAGGATTACTCGGTGGGATGAATTTCTTCAATGGCCCATTATGAGCGTGGTGTGTTCTTAATTGGCCCTCAACACATGGCTGTCTAGCCCTGATGGAAAAGTATAATCTATGAAAATCTATCTGGAGGGTGTTGTCCAGGAACAAAACACATGTTGGAGATACAAATACATTAGCCAATATTCATAACTTTAGATACAAAGATGATATGCATATAAACAGGATAATCCTATGTGATAGATGTCAATGGAAAAGTTGCAACTTCACATGATACACTTTGTATAAAAATAGTTGCAATTGTATAACAGTGGTAACAATGATACCTATGGTCATTTTTAGAATCACACCATCAGTCTTGAAAGGTGTGGTGGGAGATATTTATCATAGCACTGGAGATATTTTCTAATTGCTGTCATGTTCCAATAACTTTTTGGTAGAATCTGGAGTACCACATGGATCTACATCCTGTGTGTGGAGAAAGTCTGCAGGAGAACAACTAAAGAGTTGTGAGCCTGGAACTCAGTTGCATAGTGTTGTCCAGTATTTAGCCCATGGTGGTCTGATTCTTCTTTCTCTAATGTTCTGGAGACTCCCCCTACTTTTATATAGTACAATAATATATATCCATTTTATGTGTACGTATGATGGAGTTCCTTAGCTTTTTTTTTTTTAATGGGTTGTTCTTGGAATAGATAAGGTGAATTTTCACATGTTGATACTATTCAACTGAATATATTAACTGTAAGGGTAACAAAATATTGAAATAAATTACTTTAATCGGTCATTTGAGTTATTTTTAATTCTTGCTGTTTTTAAAAGGTATATATTATTTACTGTAGTAACTTTTAACTGTAAACTTGTATGGGATTAAGTAAGTACGGTAGTTTTTTCCCTGCGTGTCTTTTATCCATCCAGACAACAATTCTTCAGTTGTTTCTGACTTTACACATTTACGGACCATCATCAACTGTCTGTTCTTTAGGTTGAATTTATATTACAGGTCATCCATTTGGTTTCTTAAAGCTTTACAGTCCTTGATAATTTTTGTTATCATGACTGGATGCGAAATAGCATGCACAGCTTAGAAAGTCAGGTCATATAAATAAAGAGTTAACAGTTTGGTCTTTATCCACATTTTTTATAACTATTTTTAATCAAGTTTGTTAATTAATATGGTTTAATTTGGTGCTTTGTAATATCATCAGCTGTCTCACACATGCTTTTCTATTGGTAAAAGATTTGAACCCATAATAAAAATCTCTTGGTGGTTTTGACCAACATTATGTCTAGCTAACAGGGATCTGGGCCGGTTCCAGGCACCAGCTTACCAAGCAGGTGCTTGGGGCGGCCACTTCGGAGAGGAGCGGCGCATCCAGCTATTTGGCGGCAATTCGGTGGACGGTCCCTCACTCCCGCTCGGAGCGAAGGACCTCCCGCCGAATTGCCGCCGCAGATCACGATCGCGGCTTTTTTTGTTTGTTTGGCTGCTTAGGGTGGCCAAAACCCTGGAGCCGGCCCTGACAGGGATGAAATAAATTTTGTACTGATGAAACAAATGTATTTGTTTTAATTAAATACTATTTAATTCATTTTTAAATTTAGGCTGCAAGGTAATATTGGCAATAGTGCTTGAAATGGAGTCACTTTCCTGCTCTTCTGAGGATGTTAGTCAGCCATCACATGGTAAGTTTCCTATAAAGATTTTGTATTGTACAGTTTTCAGTTGGTTAAGACTTTTAAAGCCTTCAAACAAGATTTAAGTAATTGCTTTATTTTTACATTAAATTTTAAATTCTGCAGAAAATGATGAGTGGGATCCTTTTCACCGAAGTACATTTCCTACTTGCCACCAGTGAGTGGATTTGTGAAGTCCTGCTTGTAACCCATGGTTACAATCTATTGAGGAGAAAATTGAGCAGTTAGAGGGTAATTTTCTTTATCTAATAAAATTAAAGAATTTAAAAATCTTATTTTTAAAAAATAAAAAGGAAAAGTGAGCTTGCTCAGTTAAACTAGTGATTTGAAGAAAATCAGGAACTGCAACATTCACAGCAATATTAATTTGGCCATATCCTTCATGTCTTTGGAAATATGTTTCAAAAATATGAATCTAGTACAGATTTAACAAAGAAATTGGGAATAGAAGATTCTACATATTTACAATAAATTAGAAATAATGTTATTCTAGGACTCTTAACTCTTGCATTTCCTAGTATTTTTCCATTTTAACTGTGCAGCCTTTGAGCCAGATAATGCCTTTTAGGTACTGGCCCACATTATGCATGATGTAGAACTGCAGTATTTCAGGGGGACCTGTGAGAGAGATTGTGCCTCAGGGCATAGGGGGAGAGCAACTGTTGCATTACTGGTTAGGAGAGTGCAGCAGGGTATAGCTAGCTAGCTAGCTCCGGGTACAGTCATCCATATTTTCTTCCAGAGGCAGTGTTGGGTGTTTATTGTAGTCAATTATCATGCCAACATTTTCTGCAGGGTGTCATTCCTATCCTGATAATGCCCTTCACCACAAATTTTGGTTAAAAGGTCCTTGGTTTTTATCTGGAATGGGTTAAAGTCATTACAAAAGTCCATCCAAATGTTTGTTTCATTTGACACCAAGAGATTAGGTGAAACTTTCTCCAAGAGAATTATATATAAATGGCTGTCTCGTATCATATTCATTGTTACATCTTAATCTGATTTATTGTTATATCTGAATCTTCAGAGCATATGAAGGAATATGTAGTCTCAGGTATATCAGTGATAATAGCTAGCCTGACATCAGTTTATATCCAGGAGTTCTGCAGGACAGCCACATGGCATTCTCTATATTTTCTTCAAAACTCTCGTTTGGATTCAGTATCTTGGCATGATTCCTGGTTTCTTCAATAGATGACATTTTGGGTCAGACTCTGATACCCTTACTTAAGATGTACAGTCCCTTACTCAGCAGGTCATAAGATATTGCTGCATGTGAGTCAGGTAGCACAATCTGGTTCTTTATTAGGTAATAGAATTGAGTAGGGGGCTCAGGGAAACCTTATAGTTTTTTAATGTAAGTGTTTGCTTAAAATGGTTTATTCCTGGGATAGTTTTACTGCCCCAAAATGAAAAGGATTGTTCTATGCTTTCATTCCTTCAAAAAGTAAAAGTGTACGCTGGCTAGAGCTAGGTGTAGTATATGCAGAGCTGCCAAGCAGGTCCACCAGAGAGATTCTTTCACCTTTTCTATTCCACTTTGGGCCTTTCTAGAGCAGAAGCTGGCACTCACTTCCTGTTATTTGTCATTGTCATTTTCCTGATTTGGACAATTATCCACTAAGGGCTAGAAATAAACCATCAAACTCATTTTACTTGTGATGAGCTGTAGATGGAGGAATGCATTAAATTGCTTTTTGGCTTCAGGCTCCTTTGTCTTGTCTCTTTTTTTCTTTCTTTTTTTTTTTTAGTTTCTTCCTTTTTGTATTTTTCTATACTTTCTTGAGTTTCTCCTTTCACCTTTTAGATTGTATTTTTAATCCTCTGCCAACTTCTGCTTGCAGTTTTTTAAAATCTGAAATGTGATGTTTGCTGTTGTAAATGACAATGGGCTGGAACTTTGTGCAAAATGCATTCACATTGTTAGAGCTAGTTGCTATGTCTTCTTAATCATAAAACCAAGATTTATTACTTGAAAATTAAAGAAAAAAATGCTGACATGTGTATGTGACTTTTGGTGTGCATTTTGTTTTAAGGTCAGAATAAAGAGATGCTCCTAGGTTACCCCACCAGGCGTCGTAGTTGTGCTTTGGTAAATACTCCATCTCCATGTGTTAACAAAGCTATTCATCACATTCAAGAGCTGGAAGTAAAGATAGAAAGCTCCTTTCAACAGGTACTGTATGACTAAAATTGTCAAATATTAATAGAATCTTGGGTCTGAGTAGATAACCAGATTGTATCTTTGAAAAGCATTACTATTTTATAATAATGGAAAGTAGTATACTCTTTCTAAACCAGTGTCAAGCTAGTTTATTTATTAGTCAAGACATTTTTTTAGCTATGTACAGTCCTGGAGGGTCAAACTACCTCATTAAAATCAAGCTGTCTTCTATCTGTTTCACACATCATCATCCAAAGGCACATAGAAGACATCTTGATTTTCCTAAGCCAAATTGTTCCAGTATATTGCATGGTATTAAAAAAACTTTTTTTGACACTAAACTAACTAGATAAGTAAATTGATCTATGCACATCTGTGTCATTTTTAATAAATAATTTTGTTTTCTAGCAACATTTAATAGTTCTTTGATTTAAAAATAAAAGGCAGTGTTTCTTTATTCTAATGTCCACTAAAAAGCATGTGTTGATAACACTGCATCTAATTTTCTCTTACCTGGTTATATGTTGGTAGAACTGAGACTTATGCATCTTCTTTTCCTAGAGCTTGGTATGTAGGATTTCCCAAACTTTGGGAAACTTTGCAGGAGGATTGGAAGGTGGCTTGCAGCAGGCATATACATTTTAAAAAAGAATATGAGTAGGGAAGCTAAGTTGTGTGTGAAAAGAAGACATGAGGGAGGTGATACATATACTGGCAGATAGGTAGAAGAAAGGTAAAATGCATATGTGTGTGTATAGTACAATAACAGGAAATTTGCCACACACTTCTCTGGGAACATGATCAGGGTCATTGAGAGAATATACTCTTATATGAGGAGGTTTTTCCAAATAACAATTAGTAAAGTTAAAGGAAGAACCTACCCTGTCTCCTTCATGTTTTTGAAGAAAGTGGAGAAACTGTATGAAAGATGCATTGCAAAATTGGATAATAGATCATGTGTATAAAATGGCATCTATAGTGGTATTCTTTTGTATTGATAAAGACTGTTTTTGAGTATTAACATTATTTATTCATAATTTCTGACATAGTATGGAGCAGCTGTTACTAGAAGTTTTTTTAAAAAAGACTCTTATTTAGGGTTGGTTATCATTTATCTTATTTAACTGAAAGGATGCTAGAATCTGTATATATTTGGGATCTACACAATTCCAAAGACACATTAGCTATAATTATTTTTAAAGCAGGTAAAAACAAATTCATGTTTATGTACATTGACGTGTCCCTCTTGCAATGTAAAGTTTAGTGACCTTTTACATTAGAAAACATGTATTTGATCAAGATGCCTTAGTGAAATTTATCTTTTATGTTTGCAGCATGATCGTACACTTGAGAAGGAGAAAATTCCATGGTAAGAATTATACATGATTTTTGTTTTAATGCCAGATAATTGTTTGATAAGTTAGTCTGCCTAAAACCCACACTATATGAACTTCAGCACTTCACACATTTTCCACCCTGCTTTGAATGGAACTATAATTACCATACTTTTTTTTATGTAGCATTTTGGGGAACTGGATGACTCAGGGGATCAATAATGGTATATGGAGCATTTGACCTAAATGACCAGTTGATATCATGGGGATTTGTTAGGTGCTCATCACATCTGAAAATCAGGCTGCTTAGTTAGGTGCTAAAATATGGAAGTTGTAGATTTACTGTAAAGTCTCATTTTTAAAAATCTTGGCCTTGAAGTATTAAGTGTGAAGGACAGACTAGTTATGATAAACCATACTTCATTGCAATGCTCTGTGATATTTAGGGTTACCATTCATCCGGATTTACCCGGACGTGTCCTCCTTTTTGTGTTAAAAATAGCGTCCGGGGGGGAATTTGTAAATCACTAAAAATGTCCGGGATTTCCCCCCCATGCAGAGCAGAGCAAGCGGCTGGGAGGGCTGCAGGAAAGTCAGCCGCTTGCATGGGGCTCTGGAAGCCAGAGCCCTTCCCACTGCAGCTTGCCGGGCTGGATTCCGGAGCAGCTGGAGAGCTCCTCCTCCCTCCCCCCCTCCCTCCCTGCATTCTGAGCCGGCCGGCCTGCCGGGCCATTTGCATCAGGCCTGGGCAGCTCCTCCTCCCCTGCAGCCCAGCGCCCCGCTCCGGCAGCACTGGGTGGGGTGGGACCGGGTTGTGTGTTGCGCTGGGGAGCGCAGCCACGTGTCTGGCTCCGCACAGACCCCAACACCATGTTCTGCGCGGCAGGGTAAGGGGGCCAGGGGGCAGGAGAA